TCAGTCTGTGAGCAAAACAGATAAAAACCCTGCCTTTATGGAAATACAATTGTTTCAGAGTTAGATAGCAAATAAACAAATATTAGCCTGTTGAGTATTAAGAGCTTTGGAAAAAAGAGTCAGTCAGACTTGATGGATAGAAGATGACAGTGGGAACTACTTTAAGTAGAAGAGATTATTGGGGGAGGCCTCTCTAAGGCAGTAACTGGTAAAAGTAAGAGGTGTTTAAGAAATAAAGGAGGCAAACCATGCAAAAATCTGGGGAACAAGTGTTCTGGGTGGGAACAGAAACTGCAAAGATGCTGTGAAGGTAAAGCATTTGCACAGAGGCCAGGGTGAATACAGCAAAAGAAAGAAGAGTAGGAAATGTGATTGAGGAGAACCAGATCATAGAGGACTTTCACAGTTAGGGCAAGGTAGGGCTTTGGGATTTTATTCTTAATAAGATGGGAAACCTTCAGAGTAGAAGAGTGGCATGGTCTGATTTATGTTTTCAAACAATAATCTTGCTTCATTTTCTTAATAATTGTAATTTGATCATTAAGGAGACACTTCTAATATGTTTCTAGGTACTTGTGATTTTTGTAGAAAATTTATTTTCCCTACATCCTTCAATAGTTCTAAATTATTGTAGGGCTAGAAAGCACTCCTAGGTTAAAAGGACAACTTACTTCAAGACTTGAAGAGAACATTCAGATAGCCTTTGATTTCAATAGCATTACGTATGTATGAAGTGTGTAAATCAACCCACAACTTTTCTCTGCTTAACTAGAAAGTTAGTGCTGTTCAGTTTTGTTAAAAATTAAATCATGAGTAGTTGAGATTTTTCTGGGAAAAAGAGAAATTTTTAATTTTTTAAAATTTCTTTAAGTTGTAATTCCCTATTAAAGTTTTTGCAAATTTTTATGAGTTAGTCTCCTTTTTTTATTGGCCTATAGAGAACCCAAAAACAGACTCACACTTGGTTCTCAACAGATCAGTTGGTTCTCAACAAGGCATCAAAGCAATCCAGTGGGGAAAGGAATATCTTTTCAACAAACCATGCAGAAAAAAACTGGATATGTATGTGAAAAACAGTTAACCTTGACACCTCCCTCATATCATACCCAACAGTTAATCCAAGATGAACCATAGTCCTAAATGTAAAAGTTGAAACCATAAAGCTTTTAGAGGAAAACATAGGAGGACATCTTTGTGACTTAGAGGATGGCAAGAGTTTCTTAGGCCACAGGAAGCAGTAATCTGGGAAAAAATAGATTTGACTTGATCGAATTTAAAACTTCTCATTAAAGACATCATTGAGAAAATGAATGGAGGAAAACCATAGACTGGAAGAAACATTTAAAACATGTACTTGATAAAGAACTACAACTCGGTAATAAAAAGGTGATCCAATAAAGAAGGGTGAAGATTTGAACAGATACTTCATGCAAGCAGATGAATGGCTAAAAAGAACCTGAAAATGTGCTCAGCATCACTAGTCATCTGAGCTAAAATGCCTCTTTATATTTAGCATCTTTGCATGCTTTTTCTGAGTTGCTTTGACTTGAGTTTTTAAAATATAGGCCTATTACAATCACTCTTGTAAAAATTTTTGTACTTACTTTTTCTTTCAGGGAGAATACCCTGCATACCTTGAAACAGCGGCAGCTGTCTTCTCATATAGGAAGTGTCCGTCCTCTTGTCACTGAATTGGTAAGTGTTCTTTGAAATGAAAGTTGTCTTCAAAGTTGTGATTTTTCTTTTTCTATAAGGCTGAGTATTTCTTATCTTGGATCCTTCTTTTGGTTTCTCCACAGTTTGCATATAGTGCCATTTAAACTCTAAAACTACTAATTGTAGTTGATTTTGATGGGATGTATTTGAACACATCCATGGCCTATGAATTGTAAATTGTACAAGAAGATATAGAAAGGATTCCTGATTTGCCAGCATAGAAACAAGTTAACCTTGGTGTTCTAACAAGGTTTGACTCTTCAACCATGAAGTGGTGACCTGCGAAAGCTCTTTTATGTAGAAAGCAAGGGGGAAGAAGCTTTGAATTAGCTTGAGTTAGAAAGGTCATTCTATGATATGAGTAATGGGCGTAACAGTGGATTAAAAAAAACCAGGAGTCTAATTATGTAGAAATAAAGGGGTAAGAGCTTTGGTGGTGTTTGGTTTTTCTTCTTGAAACAAACCTTTGTGACAAGTGGGGGCAAGTAAATTAAATGCTTAGAATAAAGAGTGGTTGAAATAACTACCAACTGAAAAATTAATATAATTCATTTTAGTAACAAAAGCAGTTTTTGATTAAAATTGTTTGGAAGCTACTAGAAGAGCTTGAAGTAAATTGTAGCTAAATTACTCCATAGCAAGCAATTGAAAGTCATTTACTCTTAACATTTGGAAAGTGGTGATTTCCTTTTGCCAGAAAGAAAATGTGTTCCAAAATTGAATGATATTGTCTGTCTGCAACTACTTCTTATGACCTAATACACATTCCACTGCCTGAATTGATAGTCATATTTACCATACACTCAGTAACATTTGGAATATGAATTACTTCCTTTCTTAAGTCTTCAGTTCTCATTTGAAATCATTCTGCAGATCATGTGTGCTGTTTGCTGCAAAAGTGAGGACAGTATGTTATCCTGATTTTTTTTTAATCCCAAATGTTTAAGACACATTTTTTTCTATCCCTGAAAGGTATAGGTAGGAATAACTTTTAGGGGAGGTTTGCTTATTAGAAATCTGTTTTGTTGTTTTTTTTATTTCACTGGACATTGGTATCTTTTCTGTAACATCCCATATTCAATTCCCTTTTCATATTTTCTCAGAAAGTTACCAGCTAAGTACTTTCTAATTACAGCATGCATTGTGGTTTCTCCAGTTTCTCCTCTCTGCTCATTCATTCTCTGTCTAGGCCTAATTCTGTTGAGGTTTAACTTGGCTGTGTAGTTACTACAACAGGATAAAGCCCAAGTCATCTTGAATTATGAGTAACATCTGTAACCAGGCTGGGCTGGGCTAGTGGTGTGTTCCACTGACGTTGGCATGTACCTTGTGGGCCAAGAATCTATTTCGAATGGGCAGTGGACAATTAATGTGGCAATTTGGAATGTTTGTAACACTTTCATTTACTGTTACTTAATTAAATTGTAAATGAATTTATTTAAGTATATAAACTCAGGAGAGATTTATTATCTCTTCATGTTCAAAATGTATGTCAGTACAAAAGATTTATAGTTGATGTGTTTTTGTGTTTAATTTTTAATTATTTTTTTTGGTAGGACCCTGATGCTCCCATAAGACAGAAAATGCCCCTTGATGATCTGGATAGAGAAGATGAAGTCAGATTGCTCAAATATCTTTTCACTCTGATCCGTGCTGGAATGACAGAAGAGGTAAATTATGTATACCCGGCTTGTCCAATTTCAAAAAGTCATAGGTACTTTAAGTTGGAAGGTATCTTTGTGAACTAGAATACCTCCTCAGTGCAGTAGTCTCTTTCACAATATTTCTGGATCTAACTACTGTTTGGAGCATCTCCAGTAATAAACACATTGTTTCAGAAAGCAGTGCCTTCTAGTTTGCTCATCTCTAGTAGAAAATTCTTTATAAAAAGTCAAACTTGAAGAGGCGGAGCCAGGATGGCGGCGTGAGTAGAGCAGTGGAAATCTCCTCCCAAAAACACATAGAGCTATGAAAATATACCAAAGAAAAATCTTCCTAAAATAGAGACCACAGGACACAGGACAACATCCAGACCACATCCACACCTGCAAGAACCCAGCGCCTTGCGAAGGGGGTAAGATACAAGCCCCAGCCCGGCGGGACTTGAGCGCCCCTCCCCCCGGCTCCCGGCGGGTGGAAAGAAACCGGAGCGGTTTATTTTTGGCAAGTGCTTTTTGGAAGCCTTAAAGGGACGGGCCCCCGTTGCTAGGGAGGCAGGGTGGTGGGACCGGTGAGCAGGTGCCTGGGACCGGCGCCTGAGGACAAAGAATATCCCGCGTTTCTCCCTGCGGGACCGGCGG